AAGCGCTTTCCAGAAAGTGAAGGAATGGACACGCAGGACCCCACCTGCCTTTCTGTTCCTTGCCAGCTCCCATGCATGGCTTTCGGCTCTATTTTTTTTTTTTTTTATTGTGCCAGAAGCTTCTGGAGTGCAAAGAACAGGGAGTTCCTTGGATCTGGAAGTTAAAAAAAAAAAAAAAAGGCCAAAAAAAAACCCCCTTAGCTGAACGTTGTCAGCAAGTCGCTTTTTGTCTGTGAGCCTTGCCACCTCCAGCTGTGTTCTCAGCAGCTCCTACAGAGATTTGGCCTCTCTGCCACTTTTTGGGCAGCCGACCTCCGCGGAGAGCCCGCAGTGCTGCGGGAAGAGAGGGGCTGGCCTGGCAGGGGCCGTGCTCTTCCCCCAAGTCAGCGTGAAGCAAAACGTTGCTGGGGGAAGGAATGAGGGGCGCGTGCCATATTTCCAACGAGATGTGAAACCAAAACCCTGACCCCCTTCCCTGCTTGTATGGCTCCTGTGGGGCTCCTTGCCAGAGTCTGTGGGTGAGCCTGGTCTACTTTCCAAAATGAAAAGAGGTATTTGTCCTCCCCAGTACCAAATCCCCTTTGCAGATTCAACTGGACCTAGGGTTTATCTTCTCTGTCTAAGCTGCTGCTAAGCAGAAGACATTTCCCAGCGTAGGTTAGTCACAGGATTTCCAAGGCACCATGTCTTGCAGAAAGGGTGGCCACTCCGTTTAACAGTCCTGGAAAGATTTTTTGCCTGCTCCCTTCCAAGCTTATATCTCTCCTGTAGATGCGCAGTGCCAAGTGCTGCTCAAATACGCCTTCCACATTTCCTTCCAGGGAGATAATCATTTTCCTGGGACCATTTCCTTACACATGTGCTGGAGCTGGCAGCGATATCTGCACTGCTCATCGGGGCTCAGGCTGAGAGCTTGCAGGGACGGGGGGACAGAAATGGGTCACTGAGATGGCAAGCCCATTAAGCAGTGGGCTACCATCCTTCTCCTGGCTTTTTGCACATGCACATTGCTTGGCCAGTGGGTGAGTGAGTGGCTGGATAAAGAGACCGAGCTTCACCGGGAGACGACGAGAGCTGTTCTGATTGCAATGCTTCCCCGTGGTTTGTAGGCTTGCTGTCACCCAGGCAGCATGTGCTGAGGGTGTGGTGACATTACTAGATGGAGCACAAGCAGAGATGGCAGTGGGGATTGTCAGGGGCAGGTTTCTAGCAGGGGCTAGACTGATGATGAAGCAGTGTAGACCTTGGTGTGAGGTTTTCATTTCTTTGTTCCTGATGAAACTCAGGTTGGCTGCACAACCCCTACCCACCCCAGAAGCAAGAGGCCTCTCCAAGAAAATGCTCAGTTCCAGTCTATCCCTCCTGGAAGCTGAAGCGGCTGCCGAGAATAAAATAAAACGATACTACAGCGTGATATGAGGCTGGAATCAGGGGCGCTGGCCAAGCCTGAGAAAAACTGGCCTGAAGAAGTAGTAAAAACAGTGCGGATTCCAGCAGGCTCTGTCCAAAAGACAGGCTCTTAAACAGGCTGCCTGAGTATGGTATCAGCTGGACGGAGATCCAAGGCTGGATGCTGGACAGTGGCGAGTCCGTAGGTGGGCTGTGGCTCAGCCCTTGATGGAGAGTCCTTGATTATCATCTTTCCCCAGCTCCTTGCTGCCACATCTGTTTGGATCTGAAGCCTCCTGGCCACAGGAGTGGTACCTGCTGCTCGAGGGAAGGGGCAGGGGTGGGCAGCGGGGAGGTGGTGCCCAAAAAGCCTCCAGCAGCCTCTGCAGTGCCCACGGGGAGGTTCTGGGGTCCCAGCCTCAACCAGCACCAAACCATTCTGACCAGAAACAGGGGTTTTGGAGGGGTATTTATTTCCATTTCCATCCACCTCCTTCCCCAGATCTGGGGCCAGCTTTCCCACTTTTACCACGTTGCCAGCAGCCCTCCTTGCGCCCCTGTGCTCAGCTGCTTCTCCTCCCAGAAACTCTCCTCTAGCCCTGCCAACCTGACAGTCCCGGCGATGCTTTTGCTCTTTCTGCTGCTGGTGGCTGAATGGAAAGAGTGAGTCCCTCTTCAGGGAGGGATGAATGATGAAACTAAAGACTTGTCTGCCTCTCCTCATGTGCTCCTGCCCTGGGCTATCACATAAGCTAGTCTACTCTGCCATAGGCTATTTTGCTCGCTCTTATTATTCAGCATTACAGGAATTCACTCATCTGTTTCAACCCTCTTTTTTTTGGGGGAAAGCAAGCCAGGTTAGAGCATTTCATTGTGCTCGAGTTCAACAACTGCTGGCGGACCACTGTTCCTTGATATAAAACTTTTAATGAAAGATTGTAGTTTTTGCAGGAAATCTAATAACACGCAGTAGCAGATATTTCAAGACCATCTTCGCTGGATTCATTCCTACCTTGTACCAGTGCCATTTCTGTATTGGAACAGGCCAGCATTTGTTATTACGGAAGAAATTCATTTCATTTGTGGATCTGGGAGTCAGAGAAGAACCCAATCTTCCTGCGGAGGGGAATCATAAAATCTTGCCTGGACTGTATGTATTTCTGAACTGTGCCTGACCTCTGGCGCGCTCCCTTCACAGTGTGGAAAGGAAAAAGAATTAAAATGAAGAAATAAAGCTTGACTCCAACAGGGACAATGTTATTCATTTTCTTTTGTTTTTACACAGCAGAACCAAAAATAGAGTTTTTGTCCATGCAAAACATTTATTGAAAGCTTGAGATTTCTCATCCTTCTTCACGTCTGGCTCAGAGTAAGAAATCAAGGAGTCTTTTCTTTTTCTTTTATTTCTTTATTTTTTCCCCACATCTGTCAAGGAAATTAGATAAGTTGATAAAAAACATTCATAGTTTTACCTGTCTTCAAAAGCCACCCAGCTGGCCAGGCTGCATTCTAATCGTTAACACCTAGAATTTCAGCATCTGAAGTGATTTCTAGCCTCTCTTTTTTACCATTTTTTTTTTTTTTAAATGCCAGATGAAATGCTCAGTATTTTTGGGAACAATTCACGTTATTTATTGGGCTCACAGACTAACCACGTGTGTGTGTGTGTGTGAATGGGAACTCGAGGGCAGGGGAATTCCTGGAACGTGGACGAGGAAGGAGGAAAGTCAGCAGATTTATCTCCTTGGAAGGGGCCATGCCGAGGCAGCGCAGATGCTGGAGCTGTCCAAACGCCACACGGCAGCGTCTGAGGCAAACCTCCGGGGAGGTCCCCACGCTGCTCACAGCCCTTCCAAGCAGCAGCTGAGAGCGTGGTGACGGGACAGGGATGACCCAGCTGGCTGTCCTGCTATTGCTTGTGTCCCCTGCTCCACCTCATCGAGCACAGAGTGCTTGGGCACAGGTCTGGGGACAAGGAGGGACACCAAAGAAGCATGTGCCACCAGTGAAGTTCCCTCTGGAATAGTTTTCTGCAGCAATTAAATAGAAATACAACTTGCCTCCCTGTCCATCAGCTGAAATACTAACTTTCCAGGGAAGTTACTTGCGACAGATCAGGAAACTTTCTGATGTAATTTGACTCTTTTTAAACTTTTTTTGGTTCTGTCACCTTGCTTCCTGAATGCTTGTGGATTCACCGCTTGCATTGACCCCCCCCCAGCACCACTGTCTTCCCGCACGCATGCTCCCTCCTAAAAGTCTAAAAGCCAAGGGTTGTTTAAGTAGGTACCACTTTCCAGAGGGATCCCCAGATCTTAATCTGGGATCTTCTGGGCTAAAGACACAAAGCTGGGCTCCTGACTGCCCAAAAAGCTCCTTTAGCACGAGCTGCTCGCAGACACCCATCTTTTTTGGATGCGTCAGCCACTCTCAGGCTGCTTACCAGGAGCACTGAGGAAATCAGTGGGAGGACGTGAAGCACTGCACGAGGCCCCTTCACCCTGCTCTTGTAGCTGTAATTGCTGCCTCTGCCACTTAGCACAGCCCGTCTCTCCCCAGCTCCTGCTCCTCCATCAATGCCCGCTTCCTTTCAGCTGCGATCTCTTCACCCCTTTCAGCTCATTTGGTTGCTGATTCTCTCCCCTTATTTTTTTTTTCCTGGCTTTCCCACAGCAGAGTCCTTCTTTCAGCCTGACTCACCCAGCACTGAGTGATTCCTTCACTCCCATCCCCGTCCTCCTGTGGGGGGCTCTAGGGGCACCCTCCTTTGGTGTTGCTACCTCTTGCATTTCACAGTGCTGAATCCCCTCCTCAAAGGTTCCAGTCTTGCACTAAGAACCCATTTTCTTCCAAAAAAAAGCAGTGGACCAGATCCTGTGTCCCTACCAACCCACTGCTCTCTGCCCTTTAAATATCATCCTGCTCTGCTGATGCCAGTAACCAGGCAGTAGTAGTTCAGAAGAAATGAAGGTAGAGGTGACTTTAACATTAAATACTGTCATCTAATACCACTATCAAATTATTTTTTCTTTTATTTCCTAAAGAGGTCACTCAAAAATTAAAAGCGAAGCATTTTTAGTGCACTGTGTTGAAAAACAGCATTTATTGTAGTTTATGGTTCTTCCTATTCCTCACCCCCTCCCCCTGCTCCAACCCTCCCAAAAGTTCTTCAGGGTCTTTCTCATTCCAGAAACTTCCTTCACCTTAGCAAACACAATCCTTGGAGCAAAATACATCTCCCCTTCAACATCATCACAGAAGGATACTTAATATTTTAACTTTTTGTTTTGATCTTGAGTGAAAATAAGTGAAAAAAGTCTGAAAAGTGTATTCGAATGAAGAGGAAGACTTTGAGAAAAGTCTGGCGTCAGCTAAATAGCAAACATTTCAAATATTAAAATATTTAAACATAAACAAAATACAAACAAAGGGGAAGAGCAGAACAATCAGCATATAGCGTAGAAGAGATGACAGCATAGAAGAGATGAAACCTCCTCAACAGCTGACCTCAATGAGCTCCAAATGCTCCTACAGGTGATGGGAAATGGGAGAGCCACGCTGCATAAGGTACAGCTGGTGGGTGTAGCTTATAAAGAAGGTTGGGACATGAGGGGAAGCTTTGGTGAGTCTTAGGAAGACTGGTGGGAGCCTTTTCTTCTGGCCAGATCACTTTGGTTCTCTGGGTGATGAAGTGCTGAAGGCATTTTAAGCATTGGTGGCTGTGTAAAGGCGTAACAAGAAGGTATTTTTAATGTTTTCTGGGGAGAAGATGTTTATGGTGGCTGCCTGTGTGAGTATCAACTTTCTGGGTGCTTGGGGTTGGGTCTTACCCTGATTCTCTTCTCTAATAGAGATTGCAGCTATATGGTGATAAATATTGGCTTGTGGTAGCAAGAGGACCTAGCTGCCCTGTTGTACATCGCTGGCTCCTGTGCTCTTGGATAAATAGTCATAGTTCTTTTTTTCCTCTACTTGCAAGCCCCCTCTCTTTGTCAATCACTATTCTCTGGATTCTGCATTATTTACAACTGCTGTGATGCTATTTCCTTGGTAGTCTTCTCCTTTTATTGTTTGTCTCCCTTCCTTCTCCTTGCTGTAGCACTGTTCCTGCAGGGGGTGTGAGCCTGGTCGTGGCTGGTGCATTGCTCCTTGCCATCTCACCATGCCTTGGCAGTGTGAGTTGTCCCTCTGCTTGTGTGAGTCTGTGGGATCTTGACCAAACTCTGACAATGGGAGGTGATGGGAGAGGTTTAACCTGAGTGATGCCTTTAATGTCATCAGCACCCAGCTCCTTAAATACATCAACAAAAAAAAAAAAAGATTGGACTCGATGATCTTGAGGTCTCTTCCAACCTAGAAATTCTGTGAAAACTTTGTGCAGGCTCTGTGGGGATGATGTGTGTAGAAATGGTCAGCTGCAGATGAAGTTCCCTCCTGTGTGGGAATGGTCAGATGTCCTGTAGCTCTTACGTGAAGACAGATATTACCTTAAGATTTGTGCTGCATCCCATAGTCTCAGTAGACTCAGCTTTCTAAGCACTGAAGGCAATTTGGTGAGGTTCCCAGTGCGGCTTTTGGGTAAAAGCTTTCTGACTTCGTTTAAGATGTCTGGAGAAAGGTTGAATTTAGATTGCTGCCTTAGGTCAAAGCTAGCTACTCTATTGACTAGCTGAATCCTAGAAGAAATATGTTGGAGCCATCAGTGAGTAACTTAATAAAATGAAATAATTTCTCTATTACATTCAGTTCAAATTTATTAAGGTTATTATCCTAAATGAAGAGAATGAATATTAGAAACATACTTTTGAGGTCTATAACTGCTCTCAGTCCATTGTTAAAATACTGTTCAAAATGTAAGTAACTGCCAGGGCACTCCATTATCAGAAACAATGACCTGCCAGGATAACGGTGCAAATGGCTGAATTTATTTTTTTGGCCTAGCGAGGAACAAGAAGAAATATGAAGTACCTTTTAAAGCTGACCTGCACTGCAAGTCTTAACTCCACTGAAGAATTGCTTTACCCACTCACCTCTTCCCATTATCAAATGCAAAAAGGCTTTTTGAAAGACTTTCCTTCATTAGGTTGAGTAGAAGGAAAAAATCTGCCTAAACATTTTATTTGAATGTGACAAAATGAAACACTTTGTCTTCCTATATATATAGTGTGCTCAAACAATTCAGGGCTGGTCTTTATGTTGGCTCTGCGTACTTGGCAAAGGATGCACTTGGAACTTATTTTTTCAAGCTGCCCTGACACAAGTAAGACAGTGTGGCTATGCTGTCATGATCCTGTTTCATGTATGAGGCAAGTGTGTGCTGCCTGGCAGCCACAAATCAGGGGGAGAATTGTTTTTTTCCTAACTTTGAACATTAGTGCTGTTGTAGCCCACATCCCAAACATGAAACTGGGAATCAGAGTCCCTGTGCTGGTGATATTCAGGTGTGTGGTGAAGAAATAGCCCCTGCCCCAAGAAAGCTTGTGGTTATGACCTTCCCTCCCATTTGCACATTAAAGTTCAGTAATGACTTGATGCACAAGATGGAGAATATCTGCTGCTGAGGGCTGCAATAATGTAAGTTTGAAAGTGCCAGAGAAATGGGGATTTTATTTTAAGCTAATGCTGCAGAGTCCTGACTACAGGTTAGATATTCCATAATTTTCATGGCAACGCAGGGTGGAAATTATCTGTAGGTGTACACAACTGCATGCTTGGAGTTGGATCTTGTGCTGGAAGTACAAGGTAAGAGGTAGCTACCTTGCTTCTTGGCCATCTGCTGCAACTTACCCTTGCCAGGCATTTTCTGTGGTCCCACCTATCTACATGCTGTCTTCCCAGATTAGATTTCTTCCAAGAAAAAAACACGCCCTTCTCATGACAGGATTTTTTCTTTTTTGGGGAAATTTCTGCACATGATGAACTTTGGGAGGTGGACACACTACTCAGGTGATTGGCAAAGAAAAGTGCTCACCAGCCAACACTGGTGGGTAGCTGGATCAAAACATCAGTTTATTTTTTAGTCAATGCTTCTAATGGAAAATATAACCGTAGCCTGAAAAAAATAGTGAAAATCCAGATCTGTGGTTGAGAAAACAGTTGGAAAATCAGCCAGTAGGCTGCAGTAAAACACTCTCAAGGCAGAACATAACATACTGCAAAGCAGGAAAGCCAGACTTTTAGCCATGCACTCGTTGGGGGTTGATGCATGGAGCAGTATGTGCATGCTCCACCTATTGTAGAGCTGGTGGAAACCATCACAGGGAGGGAGGGGAAGAATGAGAGAACAGCTCCTCTGTCTTCAGATGGTCCAAACCTGCCTGACATTAAAAGGGAAATTTTAGGAGCTAACCTGTTCCCTGGTTCTTGAGGGTCACATCTTAATAGCCATCTGCAGCCAGGCCTTGGATGACTCCAGGGGCTGCAGATGTTCCTTCTCCTCCACAGCCCATTTTCCACTACTAAGGAGGCACCGAAGGCTTGGTTTATTGCTGTGATGTATATACATAAACCCAACCACTTTTAATTAAGAGCACTGCAAAAAGTGCTAAAATTCAGGAAATTTAAAGATTAAGGCCAAGAGTTTGTTTTCACACGTTCTTAAAATGAACAGATTGGACTTCTCTTAGAGGTAATTTCCCTTTCAAAAGCAAAAAAGATATTTATTGGAAAGTGATTAAAGTTTTCCTTGATATACAGATCTCATTCCAGTTTTGCTAGGAATGGCCTAAGCATTCTTTACGTATGAATTTGAGGATTAAGAAAGATGCACAGCAAAACTAATCTGCTAGTTGCCCATAGGCAATGAGTTTTTTTTTTTTTTTTTTTTTTTTTTTTTTTTTAGGGAATGAATCAGTTCTTCAAAGATGTATTCAGCAAATAGTCTAGTTGAAAAATGGCTTGTTTCTCTGTTCTGGGCAGCAAGCGAGCTCACTGCTAGCTTTCCTATAATCAAAATTCTACAAGCAAGTTGAACTGGTTCATTTTTATTACAAAAAAACGAAGAAGCTGAGCTATAATTTAACATAGTGATTAAGCAAGAGCCACTGCCAAAAGAAGCAATCCTGCCTGCCCTGACTGCTCATTCCTTTTTAATGGCACAAACTTCTGACACTGAGTGTTGAACTGGACTGGGAAACCAACCTAAAGTGAATCTGGTCCTGTGAATGTTTGGGGGTAGTGGGAAAGCTGGTCTGAGCCATTCTTGAAATATACCATATATGATTTAATGGATAATGATTTAATTACGTAAATCACACGTGGTTTAAGACAACACAAGATGCTGTGTAAGAGATGTTTACTACCTGCTGAGGAGATCTAGGCACCTGAGATTTTTCACTCATTTGCAAGGAATTTTAGAGTCAGATTAAGTGCTTCTGAGTCTGCTGCCACCTGTTACACATCCTCCTTTCTGGCCTGATGTATCTGACTGATCTCTGCTGCATCCCCACCACGTGCTAGCCCTGTTGCTTGGCTTACCTTAGAGCTAAGTTGGAGGAGAGAAAAGAACCCAAGGGGGAAGCAAGTGGCTGTGAGCCCAGCTGGGCTGTATGACTGCGTGCTTAAAAGGAGACTGGTGGGGCACTTGTTCCTTGCTGGAAACCCAACAAGGGATGTTATGTTGCTGATGGGTAGTTGTGCAGAATCCCTGAAGCCTGTAAGGCAGCATTGACTTAGATCAGGTGGTGATTTGGTCCTCATATTTCATTATCTGTCTATTTCTCTGTTATTCTGATAAGCATCTTGGAGTGATCTCTTTGGACCTATTTGTGTGGTATCATCTCCAGGGGCTCCCATAGTCACGACTTAAAAGGATAAAAACAGGGTTGAGTTGATCCTGAAAGGAGAGGGGGAAATGCACTGCTTTTCTCCTCACCCTGAGCCAGGATGAACAGTTATTTAAAGCATTTTGTGAACTTTTAACTGGAAGGGATATGTTTCAGTCTCAGTTGAACCCAAACCAAGGCTTAGCCAGAAGATGCACTGGTTCAAATCCCAGAGGACAAATACTAAGTTATAAACATTTGCTTAAAATTCATGGCTGCTGTCAACATGCTCACCAGATAATTTCAAAGGGGATATGTGTGAAATGCAGAGACAGAGCCAGTGTAAACTTCCTGCCATTAAAATTCAAATGCCTGTTTGGAGCCCCCTCGCTTCTACAATATTTGATCAATTCAAGAGATCAGGAGCAGGAACCTAGGATTTGAGCCAAAGTTATGGTTGCCTTCTTTGCTCTTCTGAAAAGGCTTTATTCAGAGATGGATGAAGTCAGTCTGAGGATGGGCCTGTTTACCAGTGGAGGTTTGTGTCCTTGGGTGCTGTGAATTCAGGATGCATCAGTGGACTGGGGCACACTCTCTTCTAGGTTAATAGAACTTTTCTTATCTTAAAGGTACACTCAGTAATAAGTCTGCATTTGAGCCACTAGTCAGAGATCACAAAGTATATGAGAGGTGGAATTATTCAGGTGGATGTTTGATCATCCTTTGCTTCTACGTGGATTAGTGTCTGGCCTCTTCCAAACCAGGTGAATGCTTCTGCATCTCTGGGATTCTCAAAACTTCGGGTGAATGTGGTCTGAAGCCTTCTTCACCCTGATTTCTTGTCTGTGCTGATCTTATGCTGCCTGGTGTCTTGCACTGGGCTTGCTAACACCTCCTGATCCTTCACAGCTTATGGAGCAGCTTTGCATCAAGTCTTGTGCCTGGAAGCTGCTGTCCCCTTGCTGTGCAGTGCCTCTCC